AAAAATCCCCCCCAAAAAAAACTTTTTTTTAAATTTATTTTTAAATTTCTCTTTTCCATCTTTTCTATTTTTTATTTTTTATAATTCCAAAAACATATCTGTTTCCAGAAAAAAACAAATGGGGTTGTAGGGATGAAAATTCCCTACAACCCCATATATATATATATTTTTTCCTATGATTTAATTCATGAAAAATCTCGTAAAATCGGGTCCGCGGCGCGGACCAGGTCGGCCATGGACGCGGCCACATATGAGGCCACCATCCGAGATCGGGCCCGCAGACACGTCCACGGGTGTTTCATAGCTAATTCCCTCCCTCCCTCCCACCGATCTCTCCCAAAGTTCTCACCTTTTTTCTCTTCTTCCATCTCCTCTCCATTCCCCCTTTCCTCCTCTCCCATCCGACCCAATTTGTCGCATCATCTAAAATTCCTAACGTGCGTGATGCGTATATCTTCTTTTTGTGCTTGTTTGACAATGTTGCCCGTCCCGCTGTGCGGAATGTCGACCTAATTCGGTAGGATTAATCTTCATTCTCTCTTCTTCCAACACCGCGAACGGAATTAATTCTGGTGTTTTTGTTCAAAAGTTACGTGAAATTCTTTATTTGTATCAAATTCTTTCGTAAATTAGTTTAAATTTTGACGTTATTTCAGAATTTCGTGACATACATTTCAGAATTTACTAAATTTTTAATCCTTCTGACATTCAGTGCAATCAGACTCGCTCTTATTCACACTTCCCATGCATGCAAACAGGTGCGCAGCAAACTGGTGACGAGCGCCCACTCAAACTCAGAGATATGGTAGCCGAGACACAGTTTAGATACAGGTTCACTTCGATGGCTATGGCGACTCAGTGCCCACACAACTCTATGTTCGCATACACAGGATCACCCTGGATATCCCACACGCGATACTCTGAACACTCACGCACACACACACACTGAACTCCGACTACAACTATGGCGGCCATGGCCGCTACTACCCTATCGCTATGGCTACACTCCTTCTCTCTCGTCCACTTCGTCCTCGGGCTCACTGCAGACCACCTCGCACAAGTCGCTTATGGCAGCGCTTCCTCATGGCTCACGAAGGAATGAATGAATGGCTGGGCGCTGCCTCTTGATTTATTCTTCTGCAGCTCGTTGGTCTGGCCCCTTTCCCATGCCCATAGTGCACTTACTCCCGTGCGGTACTTGCTTGACAGGACCAGGACTGCCTAGGACTGGGACTGCTGACTCAGCACGGGTAGACTCCACCACTTGCCTCACCACTTGCCCACTTGCCTTAGCCTAAACGTAGGAAACTCCGAAAGGCCACTACTCGGACCTTCCGGAAGGCAATAGACTTGGCCTTTCGGTACTGTAGCAGCTACGACCTTGACCTTTTTGATTTGTAGCAGCTACGACCTTGATTCTTCGAGAGCGCTACAGCTACGACTTCTAAACCTGACTGAGACTCCTACCCGACAGGCCTACAGATTGAAGCCCTGCTACCTATGGACCCTACGACAACCTACCAACTGTTACAAATACACATGTCGCAGGTTCAACTCTAGGGGTCGACATAGATACTGTACATAGGTAAGGTGGGGGCTAGGGATCGAGCCCTGGGATCTGCATCAGCTACTGCGAACTGGTGAATACCGTTTCACTCCTGCCGGCCTAAATTCGAGGTCCTCCGAGAATAATTCAGTCCAAGGCAGGACCTTTACCTTTCTGATCTCTCTCGTAGGCTCTAACTATATCGGGAGTTGTCTCTAGAAGTTCTGCTCTAGTGAACCAGCGGTCATCCTCCGGTTCCTGATATGCAAACCGGACCTTATATTGCTTCTGCGGACGACCTCTACCTCCTGTCCTGAACACATCTTCACCTACAATGCCGTCAATGTCGTATCTCCCGTCCATGTCTGGAGGGATCATGAACCGTCTGGATGGAAACAGTTGACTTGTGACACACGACAGCAACTTTGATGCGTGAAACACGGGGTAGGTATGGAGGTGTGCTGGTATCTCTACTGTGTAGGACGGCCCATCATCTCCGCCCTTGACTTCTAGGACTGGCCACGGTCCTCTATAAGCGGGCAATAATTTTTGCGAGATGTTCTCCTCAGGCGCAAACTCTTTAGACTTGACCCAAACCAGGTCGCCTACCTGAAACTGCGATGGGCGACGGTGCTTATTAGCCTGTTCTATCATCCGACGCTGGGCCTTCCTGCGGTTCTCAACAACAGTGGCTATCTCTTTCTCGTGCTGCATCGCGAACTCCTTGGTACCGGGGGGTAGCTTGTGAATCTGATCCCGGTTAAGTCCCTCAAACGGTCTACGCGGTCTAAAGGACTTGTGCAACTCGTTGGGAGTGCGACAGGTGGACAAATGCACGTTGTTATTGTATGCACTGGCTACCTTGGGTAACATCTCGTCCCAGTTAATCTGATCCGGTCTAATGTACATGCGCAAAACTTGTTGCAGGATCTTGTTCATCTGCTATGTCTGACCGTTAGTCTCTAGATGGCGGCCAGACGACATCAACAACTTAGATCCATAGACTCTCATCAGCTCCTGCCAGTTCTGGCTGGTAAAACGGGTATCTCTATCACTAACAATCGACAATGGGACGCCATGCTCACTAACCCAAAAATCGAAAAACTTATGAATAACTAACTCGGTACGTGCCTCTGCAGGCAAAGGAACAAAAATAGCATACATGCTAAATCTATCGACTACGTTTATGACTTAGCTCTTGCCGTGCCTACTCTTGACACCGGCATCCATGAAGTCAATGGAGACTGAATCTCCAGGCTGGCCCGGAATAGGCAAGGGTTTGAGAAGACCTAGAGGCGCACGCGTAGTAGTCTTATTTCTTTGATAGACTTTACAACTGCAGACATACTCTATGCAGTCGTTTTTCATTCCTGGCAATGCGTACGCGTGCATAAGATTGGCTAAAGTCTTTTGCCAACCGAAGTGTCCCTCTGTATCATGGCATTCCCCTAGGATCAGACTGTGGATCTCCTCACTGTTGGGAACGCATAGACGGTCTACTACATTAGTCTTCTCAAATAATAACCCCTCTGTAGTGCGGTAATCTGGCCCGGTCTCTGGGGCATCCTTTACCTTCTTGAGGAGGTCACTATAGATAGGGTCCTGGGTATACGCTTATCTAACTTTCTCTTACAGGTCACGCCCTATGTCCAGATAGTGAACTATGACTCCAAAGTAGTCTGACCTTCTACTCAGAGCATCCGCAACTACATTGTACTTGCCCTTAACTGGCTTGAGCTCAAAATCGTACTGGACTATCTCAGCGGATTTTGGCCTGTGTCTTCAACCATCTAAGAGTCTCGTGGTCGGAGTACACTTTGAAGTGCCTCCTAAGCAGGTAGTGCTTCTAGTGCTTTAAAGCCTGCCTGAGAGCGTAGAGTTCTCTTTCGTACATCGAGGTAGCAGCCTTCTTTGAGGGCATCCTCGCTGACATGAACTCTACGGGTCTATAGCCATTGTCGTCGTCTTGCTGTAACACTGCGCCTATACCATATTGACTCGCGTCCGTGGTGATGACAAATGCCAAGGACGGATCTGCCACTTCGAGGATAGGGTACTCTATCAATGCGCGCTTTAACTTCTTCAGCGCAGACGTACAATCTTTGTCTCATTGCCAGATTGCCTCTTTCTTGAGCAATCTGCGAAGGGGAGCGGCGATAGTGGAGAAGTTCCTCACGAATTTCCTATGGTAGTTAGCTAAGCCTAGGAACGACCGCAACTCAGTCATTTGTGGGGCGTCAACCAGTCTCTAATTGCCACTATCTTACTATCCTCAGGCTTAATGCCATCTCCGTCTAACACGTGGCCCAAGTACAAAACTCGTGTCTTGGCCCATTCACACTTCTGTGCGTTGATCTTGAAGTTAGCCTCTCTGAGCTTCTCCAAGACCTGCCTCAAATGACCCTGATGTTCCTGGAGGGTCCTACTGAAAACTAAGATGTCGTCTAGATACACTACGACAAATCTATCTAACCAAGGCCTAAACAGGTCATTCATACATCGCTGAAACGTAGTTGGCGCATTGGTCAGTCCAAAGGGCATCACTATGAACTCATAATGCCCATATCTAGTCCGGAACGCAGTCTTGTACTGGTCATCAAGATCGACTTCTATTTGATGATATCCAGACTTTAAATCTATCTTTGAGAAATACTCGCAACCCTGTGCCCGATCTAAGAGATCGTCTATCTTGGGCAATGGTTCAACATTCTTGACTGTGATAGCATTCAGACCCCTATAGTTTATACAAATGCGCAGCTCTCCTTCCTTCTTGGGGACAAATAAAACTGGTGCTCCAAAAGGAGACGAACTGGGCCTAATCCAACCCTTCTCAAGGAACTCGTCTAATTGCTTGCTTATCTCCTCTACCTCTCTAGGGGACATCCTGTAGATTGCACCTTTAGGAGTTCTACCGCCAGGCTTTATCTCTATCCTGTGCTGGATCGGCCGCGGCACTACTCCTGTCGGCGGCTCTGAGAGATCTTTAAACTCTTCCAGCAGCTTGGCAATGGCTGGATCCGTGAAACCGTCCTTTTGCTTCGTCTCAGTGACAGGCCTTACATACACTACGAAGACCTGATCCTCTAATTGCTCCTTTCTCACTAATCGCGTGAACGCGGGAGCACTGAGGCAGCAATGTGCCAAGGGGTTATCTACTCCAAACACATGGAGCAGACGAGCTGTCTTAACTTCGCCTGACGGAGTAGGGAGCCTACACTCATGCTCTCTTAAGTGGAGTGTGGCCCCCGCTGCCTCTCCCCAGTCCATACCTATGACTATGTCAAAAGGAAGGTCATCCTGAACGAGGAGAATCAGGGGATGGAAAACTTTCTCCACCTTCCCATCTTTCTCGAGGCGGAAATACGCTTGGACTCCCTCTACGTAGTCCTCAACTCGCATAGTGTGGTTGTCTGCGAGGACACTAACTATGGGGTCTTCTAACTTCTGGACTTTCAATCCTAGCCTCAACTTTTTCAGCGCTCTACGGCTAATATAACTACGGGTGGCCACTGAGTTTATAAGGGCCCCAACTCTACTTCTGAAAACTTCTACATCCACTAGGACAAACTGCCCTTTACTATCTTCCTTCATCTTGGCCCAGACAGGCATCCTCTCCTTCAATTCCTCTGCCACATATGTGAGGGACGTGCCTAGAGAGACGCTAACACAAGCAGTCTCTGGACAGCTAACTAGGCATGAGCCTGCAACCTCTGTCGAAGGCTCCTGTGGTGTGGGAGTTTCTTGTACACGCACGCTCGCTTCCCCACATGGCCTAATAGTAGGGGCAGTTGCGACCCCTACCGGCGGCTGCCTTTCGACTCTTGGGCAGCCCAATGGGCCTGTCTATACTTCGGACAATATTTGATTATGTGGGCAGGGTCACCACAGTAAATGCATTGCCCCTGCTCCATTCGTTGTTGCCACACTTTCTTATCTACGCCCAGGTCTTCCCAGGGCCAGCCTTGCGGCCAACCTGGGTGCCAACCTCCTCTCCTTTGAGGTGATCGTCCACCTTGTCTCTGTGGGGACCGACTAGGACCTTGACGATTTGGCGGGGGACCTTGACCCCTACCTCCCGCTTGACAGTTCCCTTGACCGCCAACCCCCTGTGCGCCCGATCCTCGGCCTCCCATGGCCTGGCCCCTTTGGCCCTGGCCTCCTCCACTACCTTGCGGCCTCCCTCCAGCCACGACAGCAGCATAGGACCTCCCCTGACCTACGCTACTGTCCTCCTCCTCGAGGCCCCACTCAATCTGACTGTAAGGGACCTCGTCAGTACCACCTTCTTCCAACGTAAGGATCATATGATCCTTGGCCCTAACCTGACCAGAGATGGTACGCCCTTTCCACTTCTTTCCCTTGTCTAAGTCCTTGTGCCAGAAAGTGGAAACTGGCATGGACTTGGCCTCAAACAAGACCACTTCCCTGGGTCTTGTCAAAGAAGTACCCTCGTAAGGGCTCTGGCATGGCACGATAGAACAATTGGACCAACTGGGTCTCAGTGACCCCATGGTCCGAGACGGCTACCAAGTCGTCCATGACAGCTTTGAGTTCTCTCGCAGTCCTCCACTGTCGTGAATGGATGGTTTGGAGCTTATCGGAGGCCCTGACGCCTCTAGTGACGTCAGCAAACCTCTCGCGCAGGAGTTGGAGGAAAGTAGCGAAGGGGGTAAGCCTGGAATATGCGATCATGGTGTGCTCGCAATCTGCGGCACGGGTGAGGGACCTCGCGAAGCTAGCTGCTTCGTCCGTTAGAGCGTGGAAGGCAACGAGGACTTGTTCCTCGGGGGCAATATGCAGACATAGGTGTTTATGTTGGCCTCTCAGTTCTCGAAATTTTCCTCTTTCTTCTCGCTATATGGGTAAGGGAATTTCAACTTGACTTGCTCTTTGCGGGGATGCGTCGTGGCCTCTGTTGTGGCCACAACTTTAGCGGTCTCAATGGCGCCAGCGCAGAACTTGTCTACGCCATCCCTCAATCTCCTAATTTTGGTCCCGACGTGGCTCACCACGTCGCTCGCAAACTCTCTAAACCGAGATCGCATTGCTTGCAGGGTCACCTCTTGACCCTTACGGGCCTGGTGCTCCTTCAGCCAGGCCCCACTCAAGATTTCCAGGAATCCCATCATCTTATCTAATTTGGCAGAAACCTCTGTCCGGGCCTGCAGCTCCTGGCTGTCGGTTCGCACTCGCTCAACCTCCCCGGCTATTATGTTGGCTTCCTCCCTCCTTCTCTTCTTTTCCCTCATCATCTTCAACTTCCACTCCAATTTTTTCTCATCCTCTGTCGCCTGGGGTTCCATGGGATCCTCTATTAACTCCAATGCCCTGGCAAACGCCTCCCTCTCCTCCTGCGGCACATATAATTGTGCCTCTTCATCTTCTCCCAAAGATAAGTTAGCCACCCATTCACTAATCTTCTTCTCCCTCCACCTGTCGTCCTCCTTCGTGCCACTAGCTTCCCCTCTCGCTTCTCCACGCCTTCTTTCAAAGGGCTCTTCTTCTTCTTCTTCCTCCTCCTCTGCTGCTGCTTCTTCTTCTGCAGCCCTTCTTCTTTCCTCCTCCTCTAACTGTATTTGCAACATCTTCTCCTTCTGAAATTGCAACATCTCCTCCTCCAATCTCTTCTTCTTCGCCGCCTGCTCCTCCTCAATGGCCTTTAACTTCGCCTGCTTAAGGAGCTCCTTCTTCTCCTTTTTCTCTCTCAAAAGGGTGGCAATCCGGGCTTGCTCGGCCTCGGAGCGGGCAGTACTCTTCCCACTATGGGTATCAACCATGGTGATTGATGCACAACCAGACAGCGGTTCGACTCCTCACCACTTAGACTATACTCCCCCTGACTGACTCACCTACTGACTCAATCTAAGGACTTACAGAATCCAGGTAGGATCCTGTCAACTAGGGTCTCTAGCTTAGACCTACTCTAAGGTTGTCACTAGAAGACCTATTGCTGATCAGGAGGCATTTAAGGAGATCCCACGTAACTCCTCAGGAATTATTTAACGTCGCAGACAGGACGACGCGATCAGCAGGTCTTCTCAACACTTAGATAGCCTGTTGTGCAGTCCACAGCTTGGATTTTGGGCCTACCGTGCCACACCGAGCAGCCCGCTAGTCAGTACCGGTCCTTGGGAGGGTTCGTGTCCTTCGGGACAGTCGAGTCGTCAGACATAGTCTTTAGCCCTACTCATCCCGTGTGGGCTTGGTCAACAAGGCCCTATCCTTCATCCACAGAGTTCTATGACCTAGGACAGAAGAGTCTCAATGCAGAAAGAAGAGACAAACAAACTTGGCTCAGCAAGTACCACAGGGTGTGTGCACATCCATAGGGCGAGGGGATAGGCTGAAGGCTTGGCGAGATTCTACCGGCTCCAGCTTGGTGAAACAAGTGGTCAACGACCTTGGTCAACACCTTGGTCAACGCTCGGTCAACGCTGCAGTCAATCCCCAAACAACACCTGGTCAACCCCGGTCAACACCTCCGGTCAACTCCCGGTCAACGCCGGTCAACGCCGGTTTACACCTCCGGTCAACTCCGGCTATGGCGGCCGGCTTCACCTTCGTCGCCACTCTTTTCCTTCCTTCTCCCTACCTCGCCTCCTTTCTCTTCACCCCTGTTGTCTTCTTTTTTTTTTTTTTTTTTCGTCTCTCCCTTCACCTCCTCGACTATGGCTTCTTTCACCTTCCTCAGTCTCCTCCTCTGTCTTCTCTTTCACCCTGCTTCGTTTCTCTGTGGTCGAGGTCCGTGGCTATGGCCGCCTCTCACTTCATGGGACTGCACAACACACTTCACAGGTAAGTGACAACCAAACTTGTATCGCTCATCTCTCTCTCTCTCTCTCTCTCTCTCTCTCTCTCTCTCTCTCTCTCTCTCTCTCTCTCATTTTCTGTCTTCTTCTTCGTTGTGGTCCTCTGCAGATGTGCGCGGCGGCTTCTTTAACCTCCGGGTCCGCTATGGAGGACTTCTTCTCTCGATGGCCACCTTAGCTATGGCGTGTAGCTACCTGCGGCACACGACGATGCGCGTGGAATAACGGGTACCAGCTCCGATACCAATGCAATCAAACTCACTCTCATTCACACTTCTCATGCATGCAAATAGGTGTGCAGCAAACTGGCGATGAGCGCCCACTCAAACTCAGAGATATGGTAGCCGAGACAAAGTTCAGATACAGGTTCACTTCGATGGCTATGGCGACTCAGTGCCCACACAACTCTCTGTTAGCATACACAGGATCACCCTGGATATCCCACACGCGATACTCTGAACACACACACACACACACACACACACACTGAACTCCAACTACAACTCTGGCGGCTATGGCTACTACTACCCTATCGCTATGGCTACACTCCTTCTCTCTCGCCCACTTCGTCCTCGGACTCACTGCAGACCACCTCGCATAAGTCGCTTATGGCAGCACTTCCGCATGGCTCACGAAGGAATGAATGAATGGCTGGGCGTTGCCTCTTGATTTTTACTTCTGCAGTTCGTTGGTCTAGCCCCTTTCCCATGCCCGTAGTGCACTCACTCTCGTGCGGTACTTGCTTGACTGGACCAGGACTGCCTAGGACTGGAACTGCTGACTCAGCACGGGTAGACTCCACCACTTGCCTCACCACTTGCCCACTTGCCTCAGCCAGATGGTGGGAAACTCCGAAAGGCCACTACTCGGACCTTCCGGAAGGCCGTAGACTTGGCCTTTCGGTACTGTAGCAGCTACGACCTTGACCTTTCTGAACGGTAGCAGCTACGACCTTGACCTTTCTGAACTGTAGCAGCTACGACTTTGACTCTTCGAGAGCGCTACAACTACGACTTCTAGACCTGACTGAGACTCCTACCCGACAGGTCTACAGATCGAAGCCCTGCTACCTATGGACCCTACGACAACCTACCAACTGTTACAAATACATATGTTGCAGGTTCAACTCTAGGGGTCGACATAGATACTGTACATAGGTAAGGTGGGGGCTAGGGATTGAGCCCTGGGATCCGCATCAGCTACTGCGAACTGGTGAATACCGTTTCATCCAGCCTACTTCTACTTTATAAGTTTATATCTCCCGTAAAATTCCAAAAACCGCAATTCTTTATGAAGTTCTTTTGGAATTTTTTTGAAATTCTTCTTAAATTTACAACATGTCGATACAATTTATTAATTCATCTAAATAATTTTGAAATTCCTCCCAATTCAATTTACTGAACTGTCATTAAATTTTTTCTGCCATTTCAACGTAAATTCTTCAATTAGGAATTAGTCTCCTGTTTTTATTTCAAATCACCTTCGGAATTCTCTTAATTCCAGAAATAAGGAATTTTCCATTTGAATTTAAAATCCTCCTCTGTACTCATCTCTACATCTTTTATCATCTCCCCAAACTTTCGGAAATTTTTACGAATATTTTTGAAATTCCTTGAATTTGCTTCAATTTCCTTTAAATTCCGAATTTACGTCCAAAGAATTTCAGAATTTTATTTTGACTTGGTAATTGTCTTATGCATGCTGTCCTTTATGCCCCACGTCGTTCTGTGAAAATCTCCTCTCATTTTCTTGCTGCAATTGGGAATTTTCCTCTTCCTCCCTCAATCTGACTCTAAATTCTTCTTCATTCAACTTCATAAATTTGTTAGATTCGATTTCTACGAGCCTTCTTTTCCCAGTCGCCTACCCCCCCCTCTGCGTGTCACACTGGCTCCCCATGACACCCACCAACGTGCACTCCAAAATAGCACTCGAGACGCCCGCGTCGCACACCGACTCGCTCGCTTTGACGCGTCGATCGCTGCCATTGAGCGCCCCCCCGTTCCTAGTTCCCCCTCTTCATCTTCTTCATCCCCTGACTCTATGCAAAGTGTTGAGTTCGCAAGTCCCTCCCGCTCTATCAGCGAACGCCTTGCGTTCCTAGCTCGTGACACCATGCCTGACTCGACGGAGATTCCCATCCCTGCGGCCGCCAATTAGGGCCCCGCCACCCAGTCAGACCCTGTATTGGCCATCCTCCAGCACATAGGGCCACATTCGAGGCCTAATTCACGGCCATGCAAACCAACTTCAACACTTTGTCCGACCGGATGTTACAGATGGAGTCGCGTGCCACCACACCTCCCTCCTCTCTTCCCCCCCCCTCCTCTTCCCACACACATCCTCCTAGTGGATCACACCTCCCCTCTCCCCAATCTGATATCCCACAGTCCCCCCCCCCAACCGCATCATCAGCATCTCTGCCTACTTCTTCTCCTTCTTCGGTTGGCGTCAGCTACATGCTTGTCTCTTCCATGGGTGGTATGCTTTCTCCCCTACCCACCCTTCTTCTGCAGCCATCCCTTCCTCCCAAGTGTCCACCTCCGCACTTTCCTCCTCAGGACCCATGGCATCGTGCCCTGCTACCTCCTCAATTTTAGTTTCCACGGCACCTACCTCACCACCCCCCA